TATGACTTCTTCCTTTTTTGCTGCTCATCGCCCGCCGCGACACTCGCAGATGATAACTGCCATTAAGCACCCGTTTGACGCTGCGGCACCATTGGCTGTTGAAACCCAAACGATTGTTAAGAACATTTCCTTGTTTTACGAAAACCTGCTCACTTCACAGGCGCAATACACGGAGCACCAACTGCTTCAGCAGTTCCATGAAGCGGTTTGGTCAAAAGTGGATAACAAACTGTCAGGTCGTCAACAGCAACTCCTTGAAACAGACATTACAATGCAGGAACTTGCGGATGCTATATCGACCTTGGCATGCCATAAAGCGTCGGGACTGGACGGTCTCCCCGCCCAGTTCTTTCGTGGGTTTTCACTCCATGTGTTGCCCGAGTTGTTGTTGATCTGTCAAGCTGTCTGGAACGGAGCCTCCCTCCCTCCTTCGGCGTTGCAAGGGATTATCACCTTTGTGTTTAAAAAAAGGGGACCGTACCGATATTGCAAATTATAGACCCATTACGCTCATGCCGGTGCTGTACAAAATCCTCTCTAAAATATTGACTGCCAGACTGCAGAAAGTCCTTCCGTCTCTTGTACATAAAACTCAGACAGGCTTTCTTTCTTCAGGGGAGACAAATTTTGCACAATGTGATGGTGGCAGAACAATTGACTGAGTTGGTGGCATCAGGTGAGTAAAGCCTAGCTATCATCTTGTTGGATTTGGCAAAGGCTTACGACCGAGTGCGTTGGGAGTTCCTACAAGCGGCACTCACCGCTTTCGGATTTGGTCCGAAATTTAAGCATGTTGTTGACAGTCTTCTGCAAAACGCTATATCTCAGATCTGTGTCAATGGGGTCCTGTCAGACCCGATTAGGTTGAGTAGGTCGGTCAGACAGGGGTGCCCGGTGGCGCCTTATTTGTATTTGTTGTATGTAGAGATATTGCACATTTTGATAAGATCAAACCCAGAAATTCCAGGTTTTGTTCTCCCTTCAGGGGACAGACTAAAATCGGAGGCTTTCGCTGATGATTCGGTCGCGTTCTCACCTTTGATTGACCATTCCTTTTTTGTGCTCAGAGGTACCATAGAACTGTTTTGCCGTCTGTCACAGGCCCAGGTCAACTGGTCCAAATCGTCTGTCTTAATACCCCCAGGAGAGCACGTACCACACAATTGGGGAGTTAGGATAGTGGCCCCAGCCTGGCATGAGAGATTACTGGGTCATCAGCTGTCGTTTGATCCACAACTGATACAAGATCCGTCTACCTCCATAGTGGGTCTGCGTTCTGCGCTGCAGCCATGGGTCAAATACAAGGGAGCCAATCTATTTGGACGAGCTATAGTGATTAATAACGCTGTGCTGTCTACACTATGGTCCCGTAGATCTCTCCATCAGTTAGATTTGTCGTCGTTGCAGACGATACGGTACCTGCTGACCCATTATTTGTGGAAAGAGGAGCTAAATGATGACAATTTCTTGCCAAAAGTGGCATGGCAGATCATCACCCAACCAAAACGGAAAGGGGGCCTGGCTATTTTGAACCCAGAACGGCAAATCGCTGCGCTCCTTGCCAGATGGGTGCCGTGGGCCATTTTGGAAAGCCCCCGCACGACATGGCGACAGTTAGCAGAATTCTCCCTGTTCTCTTTGCTGGACTGGAATGACCTCAGATACATATGGTTAACGACCCTCATCCTGGATTATCAGCGGAAGAGATTGCCTTCTGGCATATGGCCAGGGATACTAAAAGCTTGGAGGGGAGTTTGTCCTAAACTGCAACCCCCCCCGCTTGTTTTTGAGAAACTGATGACGCAGCCGCTATTCAACAACCCGTTCCTGCTCGATTCGCAAGGGCTCCCTTTTCAATGTTTTGGGCCGCGAGAGTTTGGAAATGCTTGGATGTCTCGTGGGATTGGAACTGTTGCGGACATCTGGGATCTGTTAACAGCTGATTGGAAACCCATGGAATCACTGGCCCCGAGATTGCAGGGACTGTGGCATCAGCAGGAGCACTATGAACAGTTGAAAAACGCTGTTCCTCAGAGCTGGGAACACATATTGAGAACGGGACCCAGGCTGGTCAAAGGAATGTGGTACAAAATAGCTCAACAGCTGATGCCCGACCGCGTCTGGAGAATTGAGGATTACTCTGAGGCGGTGGAGATCTCAACCACCTGTTGGCAGGTGCAAGGTGGGGCGGGCTGACTCGTTAGGAGAACCCTTGCTGTTCTCTGAGGAGCAGCTTCCCTTCCCCCTGCTGACCAATTGCTGTCAGTTTGTATATTGGAGCAGAAACAAAGCCATAGACCCTTTTCTTTGCAGGTGCCTGTGTATAATTTGCCAATTGACCCGAGAGATTGGATGTGGGAGCACCCACTGCGTAACAATGAAATGGTCAGCTTATCAGAATATACCACAAAGTTGGGCTACCTAATAATGACGCCGCCGACAGATGTTAACTGGACGGTGGCCAGAAGATGGACGGCAACAGGGTGGGTGGCAGACACTGTAACAAGACTTCCTGCAGCACTCCCGACTTTCTGGAAGCAGCTAATGGACCTGGTGGTAAGTAAGCACTCAAGTCTGCTTTGATTACTGATGCACTTGGCATTACCAGTAAATACTTGGTGTGCTAGAAGAACCGCGAAAGCAGCACCGGAATGTCGGGTGTGTCCGGGGACTCGGATGGAAGACATCCAACATTTTGTGCTACAATGCGATCTCTCTAGAGCGAGGCCGCTGTTGCAATACGCCCACGCTGAAGAGACCATCAGAGGTGCCATTGTGTGGACCCTCTGGGCCCTCAGAAATGCCAGCGTAAGGAAAGATGAGCACTTAACATCACCAATGGTCAGGGCTGAGATCAAATACTCCATTCAACAAGCTATTTCAGCAGACTGGGAATATCGTGTACAAAAAAAAGGGCTATTCGGCCAGGGCCATTAAGTGGTTCGGCAGCAGATGGGGAGCTTTTTCGGGCCTTCTTACCATGGATACACCGCTGCAGGGCTCACCAGTGTTGCAGTTTTCGGTTTTTTTTGTTTAGTTTAGATCATCGCTAGTTACAATTGTATATAACCTTTTATACTGTTCAATGTTCTCCAGCGTCTTATAGATAGACTATTCTTTTGAAAGGACTGGTGCAAGAATTTTGGTTTTTCTGTAGGGTAGTTGCTTTTCTTTGGCAAATTGTCGGAATTGGCTTTGGTTCGTTGAATTACTCAATGCAGTGGTCCGGATGGGCATGGCCGGGAGTGCCTTACCCAGCCAAATGGCCGCTGAACAAATGTGAGGGACGCCGGGCCCATTTTCCGGCAATTATAATAGAATGAGGTTGTTTGGAAAAAAAAATAAAACAAGCAAATAGCTGCTGCTGCTGCTGACGATGCAGGACAACGCTGACTCAGAAAGCATTTTGAGGACCACAAGAACTCAATCGATGAAAAAATCCCCCCAAAAATGTTTTTATCTATTTTCAGCTCTCCCCCCCCCCCCTCCCCCCTCTCTTCCCAAAACCAGAAGAACTTACTATTTCAACCAATGTAAGGGACGCTGGACCCGTTTTCCAGCAGGTGCAGCTCCCCACCAATGGTACGGAGTAATCTAAGGTGGGATCCTCAGACAGGGAGATGCTCTTATCACCCCCTGGCTGAGGACCGACCGACCAGATTTTAAAAAAAAAAAAAAAAAAAAAAAAAAGAACTCAATTGATGAAAAAATCTCCCCAAAAATGTTTTTACCTATTTTCAGCTTCTCCCCCCCCCCCCCCCCCTCCCCTCTCCTTCCCTTCCATACATGACCGACGCTCCTTTGACCTTGTTGCAATCGTTCCCCCTCTTATCTATATATAACCTAACCCCACCCTTCAACGTCCCCAGCAGTAAATTTCCCATTGTGATTTTACCCCCAACTTCACAAAGAACACAAAAAAAGAAGAAGGAGAAGAAGAATGACACCTCTTCTGGGCTGAAAATTTCCCATTGTGATTTTACCCCCATCTGGGCTGGACCCCTATACTGATCAGTAATTACAGTTCGGGGGTCCAGACCAGACGTGGGACCTGCTCCCCCTCTTATCTATCTACCCCCACCCTCCAAAGTCACCAGCAGTAAATTTCCCCCCCCATTATGACTTACCCCCAATGTCACAAAGAACAGAGAAAAAGAAGAAGAAGAAGAATGACACGCTGTATTGATTACAGTTCAGGGGTCCAGCCCAGATGTGGGGACCACCAGGCCTACCTGGGCCGGGGCGTGAATGCACCTGGATCCCGACACAAACGCACCTAGTCTACAACACGTATCAAGGGGGGGCAAACGTATTGTCACAACGCCACCTCTTCACAATTAAGAGGAGCCCTCACCGCCGCACCATTCACCAATTGTGGAAAAGACAAAAGCAAGGCTGTTCCCTAACCCACAAAAAAAAAAACAAAAAAAAAAACAAAAAAAAAAACGTGTACCTTTCTCTCAGGTTTCACGGTTTGTAGGAAGAGATACATATTCTCTACTCAGCACATTTGGTGAGTAGTGCGGCGAGGCCCTACCAACTCCCTCCGTTTCAGAACCTCTATGACTCACCCCGTCTTATCAATCCCTCCAATCAACCAATCAATCAATCACTCAATCACTCAATCAACCAATCAACCAATCAATCAATCAATCAATTAACCAATCAATCAATCAATCAACTCACCCATCAATCAGCGGATCCCTATCAGAACTGTCCACGCAGAGTTGTGGCGCCCCAGCATACCTTATCCGAAAACTAGAAATCAGCACACCTTATCCGACAACTAGAAATCAGCACCGTCTATTCTTCGTATGACGACAGAGAAATGCATGCCACCCGTCCGTCGAGATAGTTCTAGTAGCTTAATCCTCAGACAGAGAGAGAGAGAGAGAGGAGAGAGAGAGAGAGGGGTTCTCAGACCTTCCCAAGCAAAAAAAAAAAACATGGATTGACCAGCACCTTTTTTCTCAACGTTGTAATTCTATTTATAGCGTGAGTCTATTTAAGGCGCGGGTGGTTTTGAGTGACATGGAAATGAAGGACGACGTCAACGCCATTTGCCAGCACAAGGACATAAAGGACGACGTCAACGCCATTTGCCAGCACGACCTGTCTGTAACCCCTTACCTGACTTTGGAGCTTCCGTTTGCTATTTTTAGTTCCCTTTCTCGCTTCCTCTGTGGACAGAGAGGATAGGATAGGATAGGATAGGATAGGATAGGATAGGATAGGATAGGATAGGCTAATAGAAGAGGATAGGATAGGCTAAATAGAAAAGGAGAGGACAGGACAGGAACGAGGTAGGCTAAGATAGGATATAGCATAGGGTGGGCTAGCATACGATAGGATAGGACAGGCCAGGATAGGTTAGGTTAGGATAGGATAGATAGGATAATATGGGTTATAGGACACGCCAGGATATGATAGAGTGCTATAGGATAGGCTAAATAGGCTACGATAGGATAGGATAGGATAGAACAGCAATGTAAGATAGGATATAGGATAGGATAGGATAGGATAGGATAGGATAGGATAGGCTAAATAGGCTACGATAGGATAGGATAGGATAGGACAGCAATGTAAGATAGGATATAGGATCGGATAGGATAGGATAGGATAGGATAGGATAGGATAGGATAGGATAGGATAATATGGGGTATAGGATAGGATAGGATAGGATAGAGTTCGATAAGATAAGATAGGATAGGGTAAGATTGAACATAGGACAGAATAGGATAGGATAGGATAGGATAGGTTAGGATAGGATAGGATGGAGAACGTGAAAACTCCTTCCTCTACACTTCCTTTTCTGATACCCTCTACACTCCACTCTCGACCAGCAGCTGGGCAACCCACGGAAACTCGAAGCACGACCTGGTCCTATTTCGCGTCCTGGTTCAGTTTCCAGATGTGGTCCGATTTCCGATCCTGGTCCAATCTCCAGATCTGGTCCAATTTTGCAGACGTGTTCCACTTTCCACAGATCTGGTCCAAACAATTTCCCATTTCCAGACCAACAGACCCGATACGTTGCCCGCACCTAGACCAGAACACAGACAAGTTCACCGCCAGGCAAACCCCACCAGATAAAATTTACTTCGCATACCAGGTATATCTCCCATCTCCGAGTTCAGGGGAATGAACCCCATATCTCCCATCTCCGAGGTCAGGGGAACGAACCCCACACCACCCACCCAACCTTAAGGACAGGTTCTGAACCAGGTAGGCCTGGGCTCGCAATGGACCAAAAGGCCACATTTCACACCACGCCTTTCCCCGAAAAGCCGACTCCTCCGCCCCACAGCTTGCGATCACAAACAGGAATGGACGGTTCGTCGTGCGCTAGATTCGGGTTCCCATCGTATCCAGTTTCGGACAACCCATCAGGTCTAAGACGACCATAGCCTTCGTCAACAGGTACCAATTCCCACTGCACCAGGTTCGGGTTCCCACTGCACCAGGTTTGCGTACCTATTGTACCAGCTTCGGGTTCCCATTGTACCAGGTTCGGCATCCCGCTGAGAGCCAGGTTCGGGCTCCACAGCAGGTCAACGCCAGCCATACTTTCGTCAACAGATTCGAATTCCCATTGTACCAGGTTCGCCTTCCCATTGTACCAGTTCCGGGTTCCCATTGTACGAGGTTCGCCTTCCCATTGTACCAGTTCCGGGTTCCCATTGTACCAGGTTCGTCTTCACATTGTACCAGGTTCGGGTTCCCATTGTACCAGGTTCGAGTTCCCATTGTACCAGATTCGGATTCGGGTTCCCATTGTACCAGGTTCGTCCTCCCATTGTACCAGGTTCGGGTTCCCACTGTACCAGGTTCGAGTTCCCGGTTCCCATTGTACCAGGTTCGTCTTCCCATTGTACCAGGTTCGGGTTCCCACTGTACCAGGTTCGAGTTCCCGGTTCCCATTGTACCAGATTCGGATTCGGGTTCCCATTGTACCAGCTTCGGGACCATGCGAGCACACACGATGATGGCGGCGTTGCGTCCATCGATGATGACGTGGCATCCGATGCTGACGTGGCCGCACACGTTCCCATGATATCGGGCCCGCGTCCACGGGCTCTGGCATGGACTGATGACCTGGCACAGGTGCTGACGTGTCCGAACCCATTCCGCTCATGCCGGAGACGCCTCCACCGACGCTGACATGACATCGATGCTGACTTGGCCAGACGACATCAGATGCTTACGTGGACCGATGACGTGGTATCAGGTTCTGGCGGGGACCGCTGACGTGGCATCGCGTGCTGACGTGAACCGATGACGCGGCAACGGGTGCTGACGTGGCACGAGGGCGCCAGGTGCTGACGTGGACCGCTGACGTTAGGTGCTGACGTGGACCGCTGACGTTGCATCACGTGCTTCCGTGGAGCGATGACGTGGCATCAGGTGCTGACATGTTGGAACTGCATCTGGTGATGCCGAGGCGCTATGCAGCGATTCTGATATAGCATCAGGTGCCGACGTGGACCGATGACGTGGCATCATCCGGTGCAGACGTGGGCAGATGATGACGTGGTCTCAGGTGCTGACGTGTCTGCACTCATTCAGATGATGATGCGGGGGCGGCATCCACCGATGCTGACGTGGCATCAGCAGGTGCTGACGACGTCGACGTGATCGACGACGACGATGACGACGACGAGAGACGCCAGGAGTGCGTGGCTCTTTGCCAGACGTACGTCGCAACCACGGCGCAAACCCCGATCCCGGCCGCTGCCGCAAGAGATGTCCACATCAGCGCCTGTCTTCGTTTCCTCCTCCTCCTCCTCTGCCTAAATAGCTCCATCGCTTCCTCCCTCCTACGCGACATCTCCGCATTCACCCTTTCGCTGTACAGAATCTTATCTCGAAGCCTCTCAATATCACTCTCCCTCTTTCTGATCGCAGCCGCCAATTCCCCCATTTCCGCTCTCAACGCTCCGCGCGTCACGGCCGCCGCGACCATCCGCGCAATGACCACTGCATCTTCTTCTTCTTCATTCTCCTCTCCTCCTCCTTCCTCCTCCTCCTCCTCCTCCTGCTCCTCCCCTTGTCCACCTCGCAATTCTCTCTCCCTTAGTCCGAAACCCACTTCTTCTTCCTCCCCTCCTCGTAATTCCACTTCTTTCCCTCCATCGCTCCCCACAATACCGCTCCCCCCCCGCTCCCCCGCCTTCTCCCTTTTCTTCTCCTCCCCCCCGCCCCCCCTCGCTTCCGCCTTACTCCCCCTGTTTCCATTTCCCCCCTCAACAACACTCGTGCTATTCTCCCCACGCTCTCCTCCTCCGCCGCCGCCTCCTCCTCCTCCTCCTCTCATTCTCTCCAACCGGCGCAGCAGTTCTGCCCTCTCCCTCCGCAGCGCCAGCAAGCTCTCCTCCGCCTGTATCCGCCTGTTCACCTCTAATTGCAGCTGCAACGCCATATCCACTCTCATTCCGAAGTCCGGGGCAGTGGCATAACTGTCCAGGCTTCTTCCGCTCCTGGCATCATCATCGCTGCTGAAGTCGAGGAAGGTTTCCGCGGCGTCAAAGAACTCCCCCCCCCCTCCTTCACTGCCTCTCCCCCTTAGCCATGGTGTTGAGGGCGTGTCGGACTCTGACCGAGCGGAGGTCATCGAGGACTCGTGGCGGAAGCGGTCGGCGGGTAACGGGGGACCCCGCCGACGGCGCGGGGTGGGATGGAAGTAGTCCCACGAGAGAGGGGGAGGCGATGACGAGATGGGGGAAGATGAGGGCTCGGTCGCGCTCCTCTTCGTCGCAGTAGGAGGCTGCTGCTGCTGCAGCTCCCAAGATCCTCCTCCACCTCCTACTCCTCCTCCTCCTCCTCCTCCTCCTCCTCCTCCTCCTCCTCCGGCCCCGATCGCTACTACTCCCTTCGCCGTGTCCGTCAATCTGTCATGGACCCCGCCGTCGCTCATAGGGACGGGCGGCGGCGGCGCGTTCTCGCCGTTCGCTCGGCGGGACTCCCCCCCCGCGCTATCGCTCCCGATCCCGACCGTTGCGGCGCCTTCCATGTCCAAGAACTCCTCTTCCTGATCGGCTGCCTCCGGGTGGCGCGTGATGGGACTCTTGAAGATGGCGAAAGCCGACAGAGCACTCTCCGAGACGAGCTTGAGCAGGCGCTTCTCCTTCTTCCTTGGCGTCTCATTAGGCGTCCCGATCGGGGTGGCGGGTCTGATGGGCGACCCGGGAGGGGCAGGAGGAGGAGGAGCGAAGACGGACCAAGAGGTGTCCGCCTCCGCAGCCATGAGAGGGACAGTTAGACGCGTGGAAGGAGGAGGGGCACTCTCCGCTGCATCCGGGTAACCATCAAGACGATCTCTCGGAGACCCCGCGCCTCTCCTGGAGGCGGACGACGACCCCCCCCCGCTGCCGCCGCCAACGCCAACGCCTGGGCTGGGGCTTTCTCCAACCCCGCGGCCTTCCCCCCCGGTCCCGCCGGCCCCACCGCTTCCGCTTCCGCTTCCGCGGCCTTTCACTGTCAGGAGAGACGCGCCGGCCGCGCGCGACGGCAATCCCGATAGAGGAGGGATCATGTTTGCCCACGTGTTCTCACCCGCGTCTGCCGCAGAGTTTCGCCTTCATCACCCTGCGCTACTTTGGAAAGCCGCCACCATACCAGTCATCTGCCCCCCTCAATTCTCATTCTTGACCTTAACCTCCCAACCCTCTCTCTCTCTCTCTCTCTCTCTCTCTCTCTCTCTCTCTCTCTCTCTCTCTCTCTCTCTCTCTNCTCTCTCTCTCTCTCTCTCTCTCTCTCTCTCTCTCTCTCTCTCTCTCTCTCTCTCTCTCTCTCTCTCGCTCGCTCGCTCGCTCGCTCGCTCTCGCTCTCTCTCCGTGGGACCCTCGTTGCCGCCCGTGGCAGGAGATTAACCTCCGATTCCCCTTCCCGCCTCTCTCTCTCTGCGTGTGTGTGTGTGTGTGTGGAAACCTTGTTAGCGCACGCGTGACGTGGCAGGAGAATAACCTCCGATGGCCCTTCCCGCCGCCAAAGCACCACACCAACCTCACCCCCTTCCCCGCCCAACAAACGACGAGTGTCGGACGCTAGACGCTGGTGCGAGCCACGTCCTCCATAACGGTAATACTATAATTCCTCTCCCCGACGTTGGCAATCGATAGTCTTAATCAGTGGTCGTTACTGATAGCGGTAATTGATAATATTGGACGTGTGATATCCAGGGTCCGCCACGTTTGATCTGAATCTGTACATGCGTATATCTGTATGATCTCTACCTTAACCCCGCCCACGCCAGTTCTATACACATATACGCTCACGTAACTTCCTTGTTACCGTGGGCAAGCGCTTGCCGTCCGCTATGGACCGTCCATGACACGGCCACGTGACCGCTGATCTTGCTGAAGAAACCCCGTGTGTGTTTGCCACGTGTATAACGTGTAAGCTCCCAAAAGACGAATACCAAAATTCATTGCCTTCAAGTAATTGAGGAGTCAGCAGATCGCAGGACATCGCGACACGACACGCTAAGTCCATGACACGGTAAGTCCACGTCACGCCCCCAAGTGGCGACGTGATAACACGCGAAGTCCACGACACGGTAAGTCCACGTCACGCCTCCAAGTGGCGACGTGATAACAACACAGTTTTGCTCTTTGTTGGTTTTCAGGGGACACCGTTTTTCGTGTACTCGGGACGTCCGATTTGTTTCCACCTTTCCTTTCCGTTATCTGTTGCGCTTGTTCCGCTCCCCGTCAAGCAGCGCAAACGGCCGCTTACGGTGAGAAGAAAGCGCCCGTTAAGCATCCCCAGATCGCAGAGCATTACCGCCAATGCTAGCATGTGGACCATTTCTCTGTAGCAGTACGTGCTGTCACCGCTAACGGAACGGAAGCATTCGCCCAACCCACGCGGCTGAAGGGTACCTTTTGCACTGCTGATGACCAGAACTTAGGGCCGCACCGCACCACACCACTATCGAAACGAGAAAAGACCAAATGCATCTTCCTTGGAAAGACGTAAGATGCATCCTTTGCTATTTATAGTAATGGATGCATTTTGCCGCTCTTTCCGTGAAGATGCACTCGTTCTTTTTTCGTTTCGACAGTGGTGTGGCGAGGCCCTTACTTTCGAGTCCAGTTCCAATCAGATGAGCGAAAGAACTCTGAATTTACCTGGGGCAATAGTCAGTTCGATGAGAGACAGAGGGGGATGAGATATCTCAAGAGGGTTCCCCCTTGTGAAGAAAGAAGAGGGGAACAAGCAAATGGAGGAGCGCCACAAGAGGCCCGGTGCCGATGCCACCAGTAGTAGGTCGCCCGAGTAGCTCACCGCTTCAAGGTCGCAGCGCGCATGTTGACGACAACCATCTCTGTTGAGCATGGGGGGAATTCGCAGCCCTAAGGCTGCGGTATAGTGGGCTTCGACGTCTGTGTCAAGGTGTCGCATTTTTGTTGGCGGGCGATCAGGACGCAAAGTGGGTTCTTAGGGGGCAAAAAAAATCGGGGGACCGGTCCCTGACGAAGTTGCAGACTACCTACAGCTAGCTCTGGTAGAACCGGGGCTTTCGGGAAAAGGAAGGACCGGTCCTCAGGTGGAAGCGGACCCCAAAAGAAAAGGGGCCAATGCCCTCAGGCCCAGACGTTGAGGCAGGGTCTGGTGCGGATGGGCATCAGCGTTGCCTTCCACTAGGCCTTTACACAAAAGGGGTACCGGCGGGTCCAGTCCCCCAATTTGCAAGAGGCAACTTTGACGATTTTTTGTGCTCAGAAGGATTCGCAGGAAAATCTGAAAATTTGAGAATCGTAGATTAGGTTGTGATCTTTCCAGGAAAAATATCAGAAACATTTTTAAAAATCACTAAGACTGCGAAATAATCGCCGCGCACATTTGGCACACTTTTCATTTGTCACTCAGCCATGTGTGGGCCAAGGAAAAGGTACTTCAACTTCAATGATTTTTCGCACACTGAAGAATGCGTGGAAAATGTTGAAAACTGGACTTCAGCCTCTCTCTCTCTCTCTCTCTCTCTCTCTCTCTCTCTCTCTCTCTCTCTCTCTCTCTCTCTCTCTCTCTCTCTCTCT